TGTTCGTTGGCGAGGGGAGATTTCCCAGTCAGAAATGTAACGTCGTTCAACGTTAATTCAACGTCGACCCGGTTGATAGCCTGTTGAGTCGAATTGAAGGTCGATTTTTGTGCAATATCGACTTATTGTTTCAAAATTATTAACAATGTTTAAAATTCTTTAAATTTGTTGTAAATCATTTTTTTTTACTTTTCTTATTTCTCCTTACGTTCTCTTTTCTCTTTATCTTTTATTTTTTAACTTGAATTATATATTTTTGTTTTATTAATTGTATATATTAATAATAATAATTATACATACATATATAATAATAATTAATTATATATATATATATATATATATATATATATATATATATATATATATATATGTAGGGCCTCCGTCTTCGCGGGTTTCGCGATCTCTGCCGTGTGACGGACAGCAGCGTCGACCGCCGCAAGCAGCGACTCCAGCCGCGCGAATTGTTCGCGACTTCGCCGTGGCGCGACGCGAGTTCGATATAAGATCGATCCGAGCGTCGTCTATACAGCTGTGCGCTCCCGTGCTCGTTCTAGTCCGTTTTCGTCGAGTCGAGCTGAATCGTGTAGTCAAGTCTTTGTCTGCTTCCGTCCGTTGTGCGTTTCCGCACGAGCATCCAGGTCTCGTGGGTGCTCCAGTATCGTGCGTTTACTGCAAGAAGCGTCCGTTGTGTGCTCTGCCCTGCACGTGCGTAGTCCAGGTAGCATTCGTGCCGGCTCGTATCGCCGAGTCACGCGCACGTGCTCACCGCGTGCGTGGTGTGTAAGCAGACATTTTCCTTGTGTTCCGCGCGGGCACCCGGCTCTCGTGGGTGCCCCAGCGTCGTGCGTTCTACGCGGGTAGCGTTTACCGTGGAGCTCTGCCCTGGACGTGCGTGGTCCAGGTCGCAGTCGTGCCGGCTCGTATCGCCGAGTCACGCGCACGTGCTCACCGCATGCGTGACGTGTGAGCCGCCATTTTCTGTGTGTTCCGTGCAGGCTCTCTGTACGGGTGTATATCAGTTGGACACGGGGCAATTGGACACAGTCCAATCACAAGTCGCTGTTCCAAGGGACCCTACAAATGTCTCTAATCACACGGTGCTGTGATTGGTGTCCAAATGCACCGTGTCCAAGTGCACCGCTCCCCTCTGTACACGTGCGCACCGCGTGTGCGGTACATGAGCTGCCTTTGTTCGCGGCCGCGCGGGCTCTCGTCGAGCGTGACGTGTGCAGCAAGGCTGCGCTTCGCAGTGCCTTTTCGCGTTCCGCGCGGTCTCTCGTCGAGCGAGTCACGTGCAGCAAGGCTGCGCCCCGCAGGGGCCCTTTCGCGTGCAGCGCAATTCCTCGCGGCGTTTTGCCAGAAACAAATTGTTGTGTTAGTTTAGTGAGCGCGCTCTGGTCTCGCCCGTCCGACGTGTTGCGTATAGCACTCCGCGCGAGCGCACCGGCGTTTAATCTGTGTTCATTAGCATAAGTTAGAATAAATATCGCGTGTGCGAGTGAGCGGTTACCCGCCTTGTCTCGTGTCCTAGTCGGAGTTGGTCCAAGTGCGAGCGCGCATTATTGTTTGCTATTGTTTTCTTTGTGGGGAGTGAGAGGTTAGGTTAATAAACTGTTGACATTACGCATTTTCTTCTCTGCTTTATCGAGGCAGCTTGCCTGTTACCGTTCCTTCTCACCTTATTTATCCCTACATATATATATATTAGGTGAAGTAAAAAGTTCTGAGCGTTTTTTCGCTTTATTTCGACGATGAAATTAACATAGTTAGGATTATCCGATTTCGATCAAATATGCGCCGTTTTGTTCGGTTCGATAACTTTTGTCCATTTTGAAGGCAATTTCATAATTCCGCGATTGAAGAAGTCCTCGTCCCTATTGGTAAAAAACTTGACCAGCTCATTTTCACAAGCCTCTCTTGAGGCCAGTTTTGTACCATCAAGAAAATTTTGCAAATGCTTGAAAAGGTGATAATCGCTTGGAGCCAAGTCTGGACTATACGGCGGGTGCAACAGAACCTCCCATCCAAGCTCTCGGAGCTTCTGGCGCGTCGTTAATGATGTGTGCGGCCTGGCGT